GTTTGAATAAACGTCTGCTGCCTTTCCTGAAGAAACACGGTTGTTTCGTACTGTTTTGGCCGGATTTGGCATCTTGCCATTACGGTAAAAAGGCCATGGAGTGGTACGCCACCAACAACGTGCAGGTGGTTCCCAAGGACAAGAACCCTCCCAACACGCCAGAGCTCCGCCCAATTGAGAAATACTGGGCTATTGTCAAGCGGAACCTAAAGAAGACCAAAAAAACTGCTAAGGGCGAGCAGCAGTTCAAGGCAAACTGGCTTTCTCCGGCGAAGAAGGTGGACAAGGTGGCTGTACAAAATCTGATGGCAGGGGTTAAGCGTAAGGCCCGGCAATTCGGATTTGGAAAAGCGGAAGCCTAACTGAATATTTTTCCTGAATTTCATACTAATTGAACTTGAAAAAGAAATTTAATTTGATTTTTTAAATAAACGATTTCACCGATTTACACGCGTTTTCCCTTGACCAAATTTTGACCGTATCACCCTTTAGGTACTGATGAAGCTATGCTAAAACATATTTCTCAGGAGGTGTGGATATGGCATCAACTGATGAAGCAAATGTCTTGTCAGGCAGTTGCGAAACTGTAGCCCATGAGTCTATTCAATGGGCACTTATCATAATAAAAAAGCAGTAGTATTAACGACAATAAAATGCATTTTCCCGATTATGCTAAACGGCAGTTATACCGTTATACCTAATAGCCTTTATGCCAAACGGCATTATGACTAATGGGTAGAGTCATAACAAGGGCTAATATCCATTGGGGTTCATTATTTTTTATTAAACGGACTTACATTTATTGTGAGATCAGTTTACTCACTGAAACACATAAGATAGTATTACTCGAAAAATTTTGTAATTCAAGATTAGGGAAAAGTGGGGCAAGATGGCCACCCTAACGAAACTCGAATAAAATTCTATTATTTTGACCAGAAATGAATTTTTCCTATAATCTTACAGATGTTTCCTACCCTTGAACAACAATTATACAAAATCGTTTAAATTCGAAAAAAAATTCAAAAGAAAACTTCATATTTTCTGGCAAATATTTCCACTAAAGGAGCAAGTTCTGGACAACAATAATTTTAGGCATACACACTTAATCTAGCTCGGTAAAATCTCCAACAGCCGATTACCTCGGTATTTACTGTTGCTGATATCTCTGCAAATTATCTGTTTGTTAGCTGATATCTCAGCAAAATGTTATTTGTTAGCTGAGTCTCGGCAATTGTTTTACTGAATCTCAGCAAAATAAATTGCAGAATCACTCGGCTGTTGGAATCTCGGCGAAAAAATTTAAGTGTGTAAACAGTTTTTTTTATTAAAAATTCGATAACTATTGTGTAATATCGGTTGGATCAGTTAGTTTTTTTCAAAATACATAAAACCCGAGCAAAGTCTGAGATCAAATTGAACTCTAAATTTGATGTTGTGATTTCGCTGATAATGATTGCTCAGTTTGCTGTCGTTTTGGTCGTTAAAAAAAAAAGTTTAAAATATCAAAATTGAGAGCAAACAAATCTTCATGTGACATCACATTGAAAACTAATTCTGCTATCAGTGAGAGCAAACTGAAAACTGAATTTGACATCAATTTTTCCTGTTGATAACAAAATAAGTAGGGGAAATGTTGGCTTCGGCAATACCTTTACCTATTATCGTCAGGTATTGATTTGATGTTATGCTAAGGCAATGAAAACAAACCCGCAACAACATATTTTTGAAGAGCAAATGTACAGCAAAATGAAAACAAAATTTACCAATTGCATAAACTGAAATCAAATTAGGATTTCAGTTTGATGTTGATATCAAAACTTGATTTCAATTTGCTGTCATTTTGATGCTGGACTTTGCTCGGGAAATTAACCTTGGGATTACAAAGTTTTCCCATATTTTTGAATTTTTATCATGAACTTCTTTTAATCTGTATGTGGAGAAAACTCAAAAGCGCAAAAATCACCGATGAATTCAAAGATTAAACAAAACCATTGCTTTATATTTTGACGTTATTCATTGTTATTACTGTTGTTTTTGCATCAGTGGATGGAAAACTAACACAACATACAATATATCATTGAAGTTTGAGCGGTTTTTATGTGTTTCAAATTGGAATGATTTTTTGGTGTTATGAGTGTTAGTGTGCAAAAATGCATGAGATTCTAATCGTGAGATTTGTTTGCCAGATTCGCACGTGAGTTTATTCGCTCAGGGAGCCTCAATGAATGAGATTTAAGAATGATTTTCCGAACACTGCTCTTAACTGTACTTTATGTTAAGTTATCATGACAAACATGATCAATATCAGAATATTGTTATGTGATGTGTGTGGAATAAATTGTATACATTACAACTTTCATAAATCGATGGTGCTCGTCTTGTTCCATTCAATATCGAATTTTGAAAACTATAATTTTTAAAAACAAATTTGCATGTGTTAGAATAACAAAAAAAACTTCATTAAACTTTATTTTATAACACCAATTTTTTTGCTAGCTTTGCACACACTACCATAAATTACCTACTATATAATGTACGCAGCATGAAAATATCTCGGAAAATACACCACATTTTTACCAATTGCATTATCAAATGATGTGATTTAGAAACGATGCTCGGCTTCATCTATATCGGCATCTTACCCCACTTTCTTCTACTCGAAACAAACATTTTGAATTCCAAGGTTACTGCTTTCCATTGCTATATAAAATTGTTCTATGTTAGGAGGACTTGCAAGAAAGGGTGCCAAATGTTTTGGCATTTCTAATCTACCATTTTTCTAGTATTTATGGAGTGTCTTGAGATATTGGCCTGGATTTTCTTCCGATAATAAAAGAACTAGTACAGATTATGTTCTAATATATTTACAAACATCGGTTGTAATTTCAGAAAGTTATAGCTCACAATGTCAAAAAAGGCATGGTGCTCCAGAGTAACCATGGGCGGGAAAGAGTTAAGATTATTGTCAAATGGTCCATTCGGGTAAATGGTCCATCCGTTCGAATGTTATAGAATCTTCTTTTTCTCCAGAAATTTGAACTCAATTCAATATTAATGCTGAACTGTTTTAAATAAGATTTACCAGGACAAATCTATCCAAAGTCCGCAAAAACTGCTCACAGTTTTGCTTTCGATTGCGTGTTTCACATTCATTTGAATTTTCGTTCTTTCAATTTTTTGTTGTGTTGGCTGCAGGGCTCTACATTTTCGAAGCTCTATAACTCTATATCATTTCTATAACTATACTATACTATCAGTACGAAACGAAAATGAAAAAGAAGCACGCTTAGAACGAAAGGGTGGCTGCGGATTTTCTCGTCGTTTCTTTGTTCTCCTTTTCAATAAAAGTAACATCGAATTTCCAGTTGAAAAAAAGCCCCATTTTCGCTTACAATTCCTTTCACCGACACTCTGTCACCGCTTTTTCAATTTATTTAATATGCGTCATGTCCCGTTTTCGTCATTTTTTTAGATTAATATGTAGATGGAAGATAAATTAAACATATTACGTGTTATGTTCAAGTGTTTTCATGTGAGAAATGCTTTAAATATATATTCTCATTTTCCGTCATATAAGGCTGTTTGACTCCTTCTTTGGATCATGAGAAGTTTTTTGGGACGTCTTGTCAATTTTGAATTGACCTTTTTAACTTTTTTTTTCCATTCGACCTTCCGCACCTTTAACCCCTCAAGCAACATTTATGGTTTCAAGTCCATTCTAAGGCTTATAAACCTCTACAAAAACATGATAAAACAAACATTGTTACCCATAAGGGAGCCGTTAATGTAAAGTAATTTTAATACATATCATGCTATGGAGGAGATTGTATCACAACCACCACATTCAGGCTGAGAACGGGGTGTCCTGTGCTGTACAAAGAAGTCGTAATGAAGGTTGTATAAACGACTAAAACGCCTTTAAAAAAATTAAAAAAAAAAAAATGGGATTTGTTTGTTTGTTATGAACCGGCTCAAGGCCAATAATAGCAGCCACAACAAAGCAGGTGTCAGCTTTTGGTAACAATGGGCGCTAGTGGATTAAATTTAATTAATTCTTTTGCCAATTAAATATTTTGTTCATTTCGACCTTGTCTAATAAATCTTCTGTCCATTTCGGTCTTTCGTCACTTCGACCTTTTGTTCATTCGACTTATTATCATAGATTCGTCAATGGGGACATTAGAGTGTCTTTAGGGAGATTAACGACATCTCAGCCATTTTAAAGGTCTTCTACTCGATTGGAATAACGTTTCACAAGCAGATAATCGACTGTTCCAATTTCGGCATGTACCGTAAAACGGGGTAACATTGATAATTTTTTAAAGTATATTCTAAACATTGTTTACAGCAATTAATGTTTTTTTTTCAAATTTTATATTTTTAAAACAAGTATTGAGCATTCAAGAGTTTATTCGTTTGTAATTTGTTTAATGGAAATTAAAGCATTTTCACATTTTTTTAGTTTTGTATCCGAACTTCAGTATTTTGATTTGGGGTTACTTTGATACTGCCCGAACAATGTAGAAAAAATAAGTGAAACTCAAACAATTTAGTTCTTTAAATATGAAACTTTGAATGAGTATATAATCAGAAAACATCATAAGCAATAAGAATAATACAACATTGAATTTGTGATGGCTATATAGAACCTGAATTTTTTCATCTCACTAGTAACAGAAAGTTACTGTCCATAATCGCATATCAATCCCAGGTTTGCTTTATTTTCTATTCACACGACTCGCTGAATAGAATGGAATGACCATCACATACAGGGTCTCTTGAAATTCCTTGACCTGCTCCAGAATGACATTCTCTCTCTCCTTTTACGCCTATTGTTGTGTATGGAGACCTCCACAGAACATTGAGAACAATGCACAATAACACGATGCATCGCTAATTGTCTTCTTCGGGACCTGTGACTTATCTTCCCTATTTCCTTGGAAAATTGAATCACAACAACGCATACTTATCATACTAACGAAATCTCTTTCGATTTACAGGAAGCGAACAATCCTCCCAAGGGTGGACACCAGCTGAAAGCGTCAGAACAACCCCGGAAGGCACCGAGTTGGTTATCGAAGTGCAATCTATTTTGACCTTGTAATAGTCCTATAAATTATTGTAACTTTTTTATATAACATACTAATAACGATAACTATTATAATGATATACTGTGTAGAAGAATCGGGGACAAAACTGAAGAAAAATCAGAAAAAAAACATTGACAAAGGCACGCGAATACACCCACGAATTTGAAAACGCAGGAACGGCTACTTCTCCGACCACTCAGAATTGTTTATGAAGCAAATGCTCACATCAAGGTATGAAAAATTCGATCTCCCATAAAGAACAGAAACACAGATTGGCTTTTTTATGTTATTTACACAATGTAAATCATCCTACACAGGCGACCACCAATTTTGAAGGTCAATAAAAAATACTTATGATGTAAATTGATATGAGTGATAGCACGGACATGTACGGAACGAACACCCACTGAGGTCTATATGAAACAAAAACAATTGTGTAGTAAGAAAACCAACACACCCAAACACCATCCATGAAACAGACAGGAAAATAATTCTACCGTTGAATTGTCACAATATTCCTCGAATAACGATTTGATGTATTTAAAACTAGAATACATTGTAATAACAACAAAAGAATGAGACATTCGATCAACTCAGATAGATGGAAAACACCTAGTTGGGTGCTAGGCCATTAGCCGTTAGTAGGACTACATATTCCAAATTGCATCCCGATGGACCGTACCACCTTCTGTACTGGTAAGATAGGCACAGGATTTTATTCGTCGCTCTTTGCGGAGCTTCTCCACTATTCACGGTGTTCGACAAATGATGGGACAGCAACTTTTCGGAAGGGTACGGTTTGGGAAGATCTTAGTTATAAAAAAACATCCCATCAAACATTGAATTGCATGCAGTGTGCACAGAGGGAACAAGAAAATCACACATTCTGCATTCGAAAGGGTTAAACTCATAAATTCAACTGTCGTAACAATTACGTGGAAATATGGAAACAAATAAAAACAAATCGTTAGCAAACAAGGTTTTGAAATTGTCATGAAGATTTTTCTTCGCAAATGTCGTGTTATATTCATTTTGTAGATAGAAAGAAACTTCCGCTTTGCGCCTCTCTTATTTTTTCACATATTCAGGAATTCAGGCCTATTTTGCATACGCAAAAAATGGAGACAGACCATTCTTGATTGCCGGAATAAACGCAGTGGACCTATGGTCTACGGATGTATTTGGCTAATGACATTTGAGTTTCGAATCCGTTCTCCACCCTAGTCTCTTTGCGCAAGCGTTCTCTAAACCGTTGTATAGTTGGCAATGCACCCGTGTACTGAATGGGAATTGTGGGTTCGGATCCCACCGGTGCCCTTAGATTTTTTTCGCAAATTTTCTCACACACACGTCTCTTACCGATGATATGTGCTTACCTCTCAGTATGTTCAAACTTTCCTATAAACAATTAAATTGACTGCAAAGCCGCTAAACCGTAAATCATATGTTTGAATATTTCTAAACTTTCAGCTACGTCTAGTTTCCAAGGCGAAGATACAGTCCGCAGGATATTAATGTTATCCTGAGTCAAATTGTGCCCCTTTGTAACGATATGTTCTGCAACCTTGAATTTAAATTCATAATGAAGTCCTTTATCCATCTCTTTGTTAGACTTTTATACCTCTGCGATGTGTTTCTTAAACTTTGTTTCCAAAGTCCTTTTCGTCTGACCAATGTAGATTTTATTGCAATCTGGACAAGAGATTTTGTAGACTCCGGCTTTCCCTAAGACATTCATTGAATCTTTTGTTGATCCTAACAGTGACTTCAGCTGATTTGTCCTGCTGCTGAATACTAAATCTAGGCCAAAACTTCTAAACTTTGAAATTAATGGTTTGGTAATGTTTTTGTCGAAATTCCCCGTTTTAAACCCTCAGTTACTGGTGTAAGAGTTGTCGAAATACGCCTAAAATGATCCCTTGTTCTTTTATCGATTACTGTTTGAATTGATAAAGATGATGCTACCTATTTTACCTTATATGTGATACTTATAATCACAGAATCCAACTTTGAATCGTAGACCAGGTCCATTAACAATACACTCGTTCCGAGAAGGGAGTCATGGTACCACTCATCCTGTATAGTCATCTTCTTCTTCTTCAGGTTCGCTCACCACCCGGAATGAACATTCGGTGTTGTTAGTTATATCAAATAGTGTTACATGCAAACGAAAAGAGATACAACAAGGATTAGTTTTTTAAAGCAATAATTTCATCTGAATACCCAACTAACCATATCTCAGTGACATTGACTCACTCTGAACCTACATTTAAAGTTATTTTGTGATTATATGGTTACTTTGGTACTCACATGAAATGTTGTGCAGGTACCACAAGTTCAACAACGCCCAACTATGGACAGCTCAATGTTAATACAATTTACTCTTTGAATCAGCGTACACCAAAATGATAATCTACTAAGAAACACCTAAGAATTTATAGAGATAAAGCTCAAAATTACAATTTTAACTGATTGTACTTTATAAACATTAAACTGTCCAATATTAGACCCTTCAAACACACGGCGCCTGCACGGTAATGTAGGCCGTCAGAATGGTTCATCGGTTGCGAAGTGAAGTGCTTCTCAAACTGAAGCGATACATTTCTCAATTTTTCAACGTTATCCTAACGTAAATTTAATATTATCACCCATATTGGTTCTCACTGAAAAATGGTATCCAGTTGATCGAAAGCAAATTTTCTCACTTTTAATTTGGCTTTAAAATAATTGATATAGCTTCATTACAGCCAGAGATATTTGTATTTTAGTAAACAAACTTTTATTAGGAGAAATTTCATGTTTTAGCTGTATCTAGAAAATTATCCTATTGAGATTTCTTCTAACTACATTTTTGGATTCAGCGCACGGAAATGACCATCAGCGTACAAAGTTCAAATATGCTGTAAACTAGTGTTATAAGTGGGACAAAAAGTACCGAAACGCTATTTAAAGGGCGCTTTTACGTTAAATCGTTTTGGTGTCTTCGGCGCACTTATTTCTTGACTAATATTGAAAAAGTGCGCAGAAGACAACGGAAAAGAGCATTTTTTTTTTAGATTCCGCACATTTGAAGTGTCCAGTTATAAATGCAAAATACAATAAGTAATTTAATCAAATTATCACACGGAATGATAAGGAAACGCGACCGAACCAGTAAAACTCTGCAAATTCAGCAACTAAGAAGTTTTAATATTGACAAAGACTTGAACAAACCCAATTCTTAAATAAGGCATCGCTGACAGCAAAGCTACTATAAGCGAATTTGTTTATTATCAAGGTTGGAACTAGTTCCAACCCGTGCTAACCCGAGCATATTGTCAGTTAACACTGACGTTTGAAAGGCAACAAGCAGACCTAATCTTGATACCCGATCCAGGTTGCATCAAATTCGTTATATGAATGGATTTCGAAGAATGTAAACAAGGTGGCATATTAAAAAAAGTCTTTACTGCATAAATCTTTAAAATCGTCCAAATTTGGAAACCTAAATGCTCCAAGGCACTGGGAAATTCGTAGCACACTATTAGTCTTTTGGAGTTATTTATATTGGCTTACAAACTAAAAATATCCATGCGTAATTCAATACACACTCTCATCAGCAGCAACCATACATACCTGTTCCTTCACTAGCACCAAGCCACTTTCTTTCGGCCAAATTTTGGAGCCGATAGTGCCGCCGTTTCATCCGGATCCGGAGTTACCTTACGTTCGCACAATTTCAAATCCCGTACACTCAGGTCGTCAAATGGAAAGATACTGCTAAATGTGGAACTACGGTGCGAATTCTGTGTCGACGGTCTGCTATCGTTCATCCGCACCGCATCCTGTTGCACCAACAACTCCCGTACCTGATTCGACGAACCGACGACTGTCGAATCTCTCACCTTTTCGCTCATCAATTCTTTCAATTGTTGATTTGAACTTTCTATAGCTTTTATGTGAGTTTCACGAACGTCGATAAGATCACGTTGCCGTTGAATACTGTCCACCAGTTTGGTCTCGAAATCAATTATGCGATCTTCCAACAAGCATCTCAACTGCTGTTCTCTGATCAGTGCTTCTTCATTCCATTTGTCTTCCCACTTGGAAAGGTTATGCTTGGCTTCCGATTCGTACATCGTCTCGATCGCCGTTTGCTGATCGATCTCCAAATCATATTGCAGCTGAAACTTCTTTCGCAGATAATCGATGCTTTCATTCGACTCCGGATTGTCAATGGCTATTCTCTGCAGTAGCTGCAGATCGTGCTTCAGATCGTTACGAACCGCTTCCGACCGATCGCGAAGCAACATTTTGATGCGCCTCAAGTTGTGCATCGCTACGACCCGATCACGACGTCGATCGTTGTAAACTCGCAGTTGTTCAAGCTCTTTCACGAATTCCTCCTTCTTAGTGCGAAGTCGCATTTCATAGATTTTCAGTTCGTTCATTTCCTGTTCCCTGGTTTTCAGTTCTTTCATGTGAGTTTCCTGGTGATTTCTCAGCTCTTTAATCTGCTGCTCCCTCAGTTTATTCTTCTCCAGAAGTAGCTCTTCGTGACGTCGTGCTTCCTCGTGTAAGCGAATTTCTCGTTCTTGGTTTTCTTTCCGATCCTTCTCGTTCTGCAGTTGCAGTTCAACTTGGCGATCAAGCCAGTTCAGTTTGGCCATCGCTTGGTTGGGATTTTTCGAGTTCAATATGACGTCGTCTCGATCGTATCCCATGCGCCATTTGGTGTAGAGTCGAGCTTCCAGGTCCATGCGGCGTTTCGCTTCTTCGACGTCGTTCAGACGCGAACGGACTCCCTCCAGAAGTTCGGTTGGAATGGGTTTTGGTTTGGGACGGAACTTCTCTGGAAAGATAGAAAAGATCTTTTCAACCGCCTGTTTGTCTGTGGACATTTGACAACTTTGATCGCGTCCGATTGCTCCCATATCTCATAATAAAATGTTTCTTATTAAGAATATCCGAAAAAAGTATAAAATAAAGTAAAAAATAAATTTCTGCTTTTTAAAATCCGCAATAACTTGGGAAGGCCCAAGACGAACAATAAATAAAAAAGATAATAAAAAAAGAATCTTGCAAATCCATACGTTCTCGAGTGACGTACGAACACCATTCCATACATTGTGTGTGGCAGGACAATTTCTCAAAATCACATTATACCATCTGTTCTCTGTTTATGGCCGCACTACTGTGCCCATTGATTTAACACACGATGGGTCTTTATCCAGGATTCGCTGCCATAAAATACTATCTAAGGTACACACCTGTGTAGAATTCTTATGGGCGGAGTTTGCTGTGCGCTTTGACCGTCACCAAATGAGAATATAACATAAGCGCAACAATATTATCCTACTAAAAATGTGTAACTTGAATCTGTAACAAAATTTGATAAAAACAACCAGATGTTATGCCATAACTTCAGCTTTCTTAACATATTTAATGAAAAAAAATTGGTTGTTCATCAAGAAAATCAACTTTCTATTTTTTAACTTGGATTTAAAGTTATTTTTTCCCTTAGTGTATTTATTTTTATAAAGTTCGTTTAAGTCTCTACAACTTTTTTTTTTAAATGGTTCGTTTATTTACTAGGCTCAGTCGTGTGTGACACTTTGCGGAGCCAAAAATCAGTAATGTTTGAATTTACATTTTAAACAGCAGTAGTTCTAGGTTAGTATTGGATACCATTACTCGTATCGGGCTCGAGATTAATGGGCAACAATTTCTATTGGAAGGAGCTAGGTAGGAAACTGGTTCATGTAGCCTCTTTCAGATACTACTCTCGGACGGTTGAACAAATCCTGGCTGGGCAGGGGCAAGTATCACAGAAATAGGAGGATAATAAGACTGGGACACAACGGCTGAAAATTGTTTGGAAAGGAGGGGATGGTCACATCAATCTCTAACATCAGACAAACAAAGGAATTCGTAGATCGCCTGCATGTAGGGAAGATCACGGGTTCCCAATACATCTCTTACTTCACGAAAGCATTGTCTACCTCGGGCTATCTAAAATCTAGGGTATCCAAAAGTCGTGCTCTGGAGTGTCATTACCCGGGCAATACTAAACTACGTGATCGATGTCATCATAAACGGTTCTGCACCAACATAAATATATTGCTGACAATGAGTTTATTCTGTAGAGATGTGCGTCTAGCGAGTAGTGGTTGGACATAAGTCTTGACATCACGCGAATGAAGCCCCAACTTACATCCAGACCTTTGAACAACGCTCTCGATGAAACATTTGGAATAATGGAATGTAACCACCGCCCAAGGGAATTACTTGTCCAATCGTTTTGCCAACTTAAAAGAGAACTCTGATGTACTAAAGGGAAAAATTCATCATGTGAAATTCTTCTATCGTAAATCTCACCTTGCGAGTTGAGTTTTTACAGTTGTCATTCTTGCATTTATTGCAAGGATCCAACTCTAATTGAAAGGTTCCGCTATTTATACCCTTCGGAGTGTTGAAACACCCTCCAAAGGCGCGCCCTTCTGTCAGTCAAAATTGGATTTCTTAGCATCAACATTAAGGAATGACACAGATAATGACCATGCATCAGAACCCTAGTCTTAACCACTTCAAGCTAGACTAACTAACTCATTTTTTCCTTGTTTCAAGATCATCCTCGGTGGGCAAAGCCGAGTCTTGTCACTATCAACAAGGCATAAAAAGTAACAAAGACTAAGATGTGTTCCTTTGATTACTGATTACTGAAAAATCCTGTTCCCCTAGTTTGAAGTAGTCAGGACTAGGAATCGGTGGTAGATCTTACATCCCGTAACGTACCACGAAAAAGTGATCTACCCACGTTACGGGGCTGTCAAAGTCATAGGATAAGTTATTCCAATCGAGCAGAAGACCTGTCAAATGGATATTAAGATGTCGCCTTTTTACCCAATTCAGTCTCTTTAAGGTAGATGTGTTATATATTGGATTTGACAGTCACAACATACCCCTGTAGTCACCGAATCAGTGCTATGACCCAATGTCATCATACAAGGTCTGAAATAACAGGCAGCTTGCTGGTGTTAACTAGAAGCAAACATGTTATAAACATTTCTGTGCAAGTGAATGACGATGTCACGTCAGCACAACATTCCATACTGCGAACAGCAGACGTGACGTCACAGAAAACAGGTGTTTCGTGTAAAAAGATAAACATTGCGATGAAATACAAACACCACTAAACATTTCCACATTTCACTAATACCAATAGTTGGGTTGTGCCAGATCGTGTATGATTGACATCGGTTATGGCTAGCATAATCCATTTGACGCGTACTGCAGAACCTGTAATCAAGTCTGTGAGGTTTTTGATTTTAACATTAGTAAATTAAACATTAGAACAGGTTTAAGTCATTTTAAGCAGTGTGGTCGAAGACGATGATCTAAATAAATTATTGGTTGCTAACAAAAAATTATCATAAATGCTTGATTTCGGAATCCTTACCTTTAATCTCTTGCTGGAAATCATCCTTTTCCTGTTGCAACTTTTCCCTCAACTTTTCACGTCGCTCGTTGATTGCGGCTTCCCGTTTTTCAGTCTCCTCACGCTGACGTGCAGCTTCCTCCGCTTGGCGATAAAATTGCGGGGAATTCCACGATTCAAATCGCGAAGTGATACGACTCCACTGATCATAGTACCGTTCGACGGCTGCCGACTTCTGGAACTTGATCTGGTCGGCTTCTCGGCGTTTGGCGAGGGCTGCCTGCAGCTTTGCACTTTTCATCGCGGTTACTCACTGAAACGGATGAGACGATGTTAAATATGACTAATGGGTGTACAGTGGATTCTATTTTTATGCGATTCATGAATGTGTTTCGTGCAAACAAAATCATCGTAAAAAAGTCATGTAATTTCGGACAAATTACATAGTCTCAGGATTTATGCATCCAAGACCTCTGCACTTGCCCTTAAATATGTCTTTGTTTATGTTTGCATGTTTATATTTGCACAATAAGTCCCATGAGGGCAAGATGTCTTCAATGACAAGGTCAGTGCACAGTTCTATTTGAAAAAACGCCTCTTCCGTAAATCCTTAAATTTACCCATGCTACCTGTCCACATTCAAAATAATGTTCACGTCAATGCTACGTAAAAACATACGTAGATTTTTTTCCATCGTACTTTTCACGTAAGGGCTACGTGATTCTCATATGGGGCACTCATTTCATGAAGCTTAAACGTCACAGGATTATCACATAGAAGTTACGTGATACTGTTGATAGATTTCATAGTGATTTCTTATACCATTATTTTTACTGCTGTTGCTGTTTTTTTTCTTGATTTTAATGTATATTACAATCAAATTCATGGAATTTCTCTATTCGCATTAAAGCTTTACATTTATTATAAACAAAAGAAAGAAAAAACATTGCTATAAAACCCAAGCAGGAACTCGACGTTTGGTCAACGTGCCTCCATGGGACAATTGTACTTCCCGGCTTCGTTGTAACTCCGCCATCGTTTCAGCTGCTTATTGTGTCTATGCCAGCCATTATCTTCCCGTTCCGGTGATGATCCGTGAGCTGTAAACTCGACTGCTGCAGTTGAGCAAAGTTGAGCTGTTTTTTTAAATGCAGGAGTCGTACATGTTCGCTTCCGTCGCTATCGCTTATCACGCTGATAGTATCCGAGGAGAATCCATGGTGGGGCTGGAAAGGAAAAACTGCTTTCACTACTTACCACCTTCAAATAAACCAATCAATACACAAATATTTTACAGCATAATTCAAATCTTATACTTACGTTTTCAACCAGTCAAAAAAACAACAATAACAAATCTACATCTTTACACTCACGCCACCATTTTGAACACCCAACTGAGTGCCTTACTTTTTTCATGCGTGGAATTCACTTAATACTTACGTGAAACGCACAAAGATTCTAGATATGTGAAAATTACGTAATTTTCATTGGATAAATAAATGTGTTTAGTTAGAATTTATTTTAAAATTCAGGTAACATTGCATAGATTTTACGAGAGTCACGTAAAAAAGACTGAAGTGAAAAAATTGAAACCTTACGTGATTTTTCAAGTGTGGATTATTTTGAGTGTAGAATTAGCCTGCAAGGCCATTGAAAATGACCCATACGTCGTACGGGGTTGATTACTACAAATGGTTGAAGGGCGTAAAACATTAGTAGGGGAAATGCAGGTAATGTCGGCCTAAGTGTCCCTAATTTGGGCCCATACATAAATTCAGCAATCGACTAAATTTTCAATAGCAACCAAAAATATCCATTAGTAACGTCCCAATAACGCGTTCATCTAGATTAAATTGATAAATAGCAGATTTTTAGCGATGGGCCCAATCTTAGATCCATAGGCCAACATTAGAGACATTTCCCCTATATGATTTTTGAAATTAATAAATACAGCGGCTGTGCTTCTTGCATAACCCTTTTATAGGTAACCCGTAAAACTCTGAAATTGACAAATAAAGCGTCTGGACTTTCCACATAAATCCTTTAGAATTATTCTCCAGATTTATAAATATATAAATGGTCAAACAACCGTAAATACTTTTGTAAATAACTGTCAAATTGTTGAAACTGATAGCTCACTCACTAATGTGCTTCATTTCGTAAAAAGTATTTGCATTGATTTATTACCCTTGATCTTGATTCATAACACCAAAATACGAGTCTATGGTCTACTCTAGACAAACAATGGTTTATGAATGTTTAGTAAAGGGGTTACTTTTAAAGCAGTATAAATTTCACAAATATCTTTGATTCTATAGTAGTATGGCCGCTGTTGCCAAGATTGTTAAAAATGGGAAAAAATACAAAATATGGTAAATTGACCGTTAAAATGTGCCTTACAACAGCACCAATTTCATCACAACAACGACAGGTTAGTTTATTATTATTATTAGCAGCAACCACATATAAAACATATTGACAGTATTCTAACAATCTGAACCAAAGGTAGAGCGATAAGTGAAATTCAAAAATCTCCCATAGTAATTCGCTAAAATGTTCATACAAACTTCAAACCATTTGCACGACCGCTACCATTTTCAGGGCTGATGGCAGTGTAAAAATAGTGAATTAGACACAAACATCATTTAAAATTGACTAAAAAGTAACCAAAATAAATTTAAAATTATCATAAAACATTCGGAAATAGAATTATGAAAATTGAAGTATTATTGACTGATTGATGTAAAGGAAAAATATATATTTTAAAAGTATTACAATGCACTTCAAAAAGTGATCCGCTATCAGCGCTTCATTGTTTGAACGAACTCATATTATGGGGTTATGCGTCATGAGGATGGCCTTAAAAATTGCAATTTTTTTTCAACGTGAAGCACCCTACTCACCCACGCTCACTTTCACCACCATTAAGTTGGGGAAATTTGGCTCTACCTGTTAGTGGTGTTAGTTTGCGTAGGCGACCTACCAGTTGCGACAAATGGACGTTGAAAGTAATTGTTTATAAAGACTATACTAGCATTTTTATAACTTAGTTGGGTTGGCCCTAGTGGTCCTTAACAATTTTTGGCCTAATTGGCACTATCTTAAATTTTCTAATGTTCATTTTTTAATCAAATTAATTTTGATGCACGGGCCTCCCTTAGGCTCAGTCGTTTAAGGCGCAGCTACAAAGTAATACCATGCTGGAGGTGGCTGGGTTCGATTCCTGGTCCAGTCTAGGAATTTTTTTGGTTGGAAAATTTCACGACTTCCCTGGGCATAGAGTATGATTGTACTTACCACACAATTATACTTTTTTTAAAATAACTTGTAGTTTATTTATTTTTAGCTAATAGATATCACATTCAATTTGTAAAAATTTTACTCTTCTAAATTCAGAAGGAATTCTAGTTCACAAACATCTATTCTGTTATTAATATTTGCATTAATATAGTTGATGTATTTATTAAACAATTTAAGAATTTGATTTCTTCTGGCTGCTGCAATGTTGCCCAAGATCAACTCGGCGAAGGAAAGCCGTTGCCACCCGCCAAGAGTCGTCATTATCCTTCGTTGTACGTGCGTCCATGCTGCAGCTATACGAGGGCACTCGCAGAACTTGCGCTGTAGCGTTTCAATAGATACCATGCAGTGCTGACAATTCGAATCATTTGCACGTCCGATAATGTACATTAATCTGCGATGCTTCGTGTTCTTGTTGAATAAAAAAATGGTACAGGCATCAAAAGCTCTCTTATACCTGTGGAAGTGCATCTAGAACACTAAGTTGAGAGCACGCAATAAGCTAATGTGCGATCAGCAATAAGCTTGAAATGTAATGAAGAATAAGAAGGTAGAACATGTATTTTACTATCTATCTTCGCAAATAAAACCATGAAAATTTATTTCAAATCTGAATAAGGCCCTAGGGAGCATCTATTAAATACGTAATGCTCTAAGGGGGAGGGGGGTTCACAGATCTGCGATAAGCAATGCATTAGGTATAGGGAAAACGTGACGAAAGAGGGGAGTGACGTACTCCCCTGGGGCCAAACACTGAACCACTAGCGCCAAAAATGGTACACTTATCCTACATTTAAAATTGGAAAACACGTAATTTCGAGCAAATCAAGTAAAATTTGGGGGCGACCCCGGCGTAGTGGTTAGCATCATACCTCTCACGTTAAAGTCACGAGTTCAAATCTTACCCCCGACAAATGACCCAAGAGCGTTAATGTGACAGTAATAAAAAAAAAGTAAAATTAAATCATGTTAAAAAGGTCGCGTAAAAAGGGAATGCAGTGTAATTATCGGCGGTGCTGCAATTCGACGACGACAGTTCAATGGTTGTATACGATCATTTCCACCCAGGAATCCCCAAAAGCAGTGTTTGTGACTCTGACAGTAACTATTAACGTTATCAGTCGCATTGTTCTTTTTGTTTTAGTCGATACTAAATAAACTAAGCACACACGCCACTGTAGTTCATCACAGGCGTATATTATCAATCGTAGTTTCTTATCATGCCGCAAATTTGCATTACTGAAACACGTTTTGCGATAATGTGCGCTTTTCAAGAGTCATTGTCGCAATGTTACACATACATCAGTAAACAATAGATAACGGAAATTCACAGTGTGTCACTCCTTCAGGTGGTTCCATTGATGAATAATGTCGTAAAGTGATTGGGAAAAATAACACTAAACAACTTTACTTATGTTAAGCTGACTTCCGTACACCAAATTTACAATAAAAAAGCACTCATGTATTTTTTTTCTAAGTAGCACCGTTTTCGAGATGTAGCGGTTTGAAAGTAGATATTTTTTAAATGTTGGTAGTTTTTTGGCCATTTTAAATTTATTTCGCGGTTTTCCAGTTCCGACAATATTTTTTTAGGAAAGATCAGAAAACATGCAAATTTTACATTTTAAAAATATTTACTTTCAAACCGCTTTATCTCGAAAACGGTGCGACTTTGCAAAATTTTACTCAGGTGCTTTTTTATTGTAATTTTTTTAAACTTTCATTATATAAAGTCGAAACAGTAATTGGACCAGGTTTTGGATATTTTTCCAAAAACTTTTTTTTAACTATAACTTTTTCGACCATCACTTCTCCATCTTGACCTATAGTGCAATAGATGGCATTTTTGTTCCCTAAAACATATCAACAAATAACAAAAAGAATAAAAAATCGTTTTTGAAAAAAATGTTTTAATATTTTATTTGAAATTAAAACAAACAGTTGGGCAATTTTTTTAGAATGCATATTTTTTTTCATTATCTGCAATATTGCCGAAGACACCAAACCGATCGG